GCAGAGAGCTCACCCGGGTTGAGCGTGCGCTTGTGGATGCGCGTCTGCCAGACGTTGGCGCGGTCGGGCAGCAGCCGGATCTTGGCGTAGGGGTCGGCGGTGCCGCTGAAGTCGCGCGCCTGCAGGTCCTGCGCCTCGATCAGGCGCACCGTCAGCATGCCGGCCGCCGCGTCGTACGACAGGCTCAGGTGCAGCGAGCCGCGCGCGTCCTCGGGCTCGCTGGGCGTGCGCGCCGGCGACGCCTGCAACACCGCCATCTTCGTACGTTTCGCCTCAGATATGGCATAATATTCTGGGGAATGCATCTTGTAGCTCCCAGACTTTTAGATTACAAAAAAGAATTGAACGAATAATAAGCAAATCCCTCCCACGTGATTCTTGTAAGCCTATCTTTATTAATCTAAGTATTTTACCATACATAGCCTTATCTCTTTATATACGAATCAGTGGTTTTTGTCACAAACGACTAATTAAGGGCGGGAATATATTTTCAGCAAACGCCGTTGTCAAAATGGAGGCCCCAACGTAGTAATCATATTCATCAGGTGACAGTATCAACAGCTCACTACAAAAAATTTACATATAATACATGGACATTATTTTACAACACCTTGCCAAATGGCATTAAACGATTAAATTCGATACAAAAGTTTGTCCCTAGTAAAATATTTATATTATGCTCGTAATTGTGTTGTGATGCATTGACTTATCGCCAACCAAACAGGTCCGAGAAGCCATTCTTAACGGCCGGTGTCCTTCAACAAATTTAATAATCTGCCATCCGTTAACAACAATCGAAACAAATGAGTTGTGGCTGGCGTATGAGTATTCATATTCGACACAAACTTAAATATTATTGTTATGATGTTTTCTTAATAGAAAGTAATATTATGAATAGTACTGATCGTCACACGGCCAATATCAAAAATAACAGACTAGGTTAAAAAAAACTCAACTACCATCTCGTTTTAAAAACTTCAACCGCGGCAGTGATTATCAATACAATTGACCGAATAATGTTGATTGCAGTTATTGCACGAGGACAGATGTCCACTTTTAATTGCGAGATTGCAAAATAATCGACGAGGTCTAGCCGAGTGAATCGAACAGCCCTGTAATTAAAAGCACTTCGTAAAATATTCAGTTTCATTTAATTGCTACGTTGCAATAATTAAAAATAAAATTATTTCGCATAATTTAAGAATATTGGTGAATAGATGATTTTACATTGGCGATCATTGAACGTGGTTACCAGTAAGTCCTGTACAAACATTCAGAAGCCAAAGGAAAATACCTGGAATCGAAAGTTCATTTGAACCAGAATCACAACAACGTGAATTATACCATCAATACAAATATTCTTTGTGAATTATTAATTATATCGCTGATGAGGTAGACACCATCTAATAATTAAATACGGCAAATCAAAAATGGCTGGTATCAAAAAATATACCGCAGAACTGTGTTTTCGGCCCAGAAGCTGCAAGGTATGTACGACCCAGTTTGCTTACGCATCTGACATACAATGTCAACATTTTTTTACATAAAATGTTGTTATAACTTATACTTAATTTTAATAATTCATGAATTAATGTAATTTTATTTCTGTAATTTTAGTTTTACCTCTGAGGGTGATCACCACGGGATCGAAAAGTTCTTTAGCGTAATACATTTTTTGATACAAAAATATTTTATTTATCGTATTTAATTTTTTATGAAGGTTGAAAGTAAGTTAATGCGAAGTAATTTCTCAGAAATAATCTAAAACATTCAAAAAATCTTTTAACCCGTATTGGCCTTGCAAGTAACATGTCTACAAACTGGAAACGTATATATAAAATAAGCCTTCTACGTAGTAAAGTTGAATATAACTGAACGAGGTTAGACAGCATCAACAGACTAAGCGCCATTATTAGAAAATCAAGAATCTTTAATTGAAAACAATGAAGCATACGTCTTTTCAATGATAGTAAAATTCTAATAACCTGTTAGCAGGGTCCCGTCAGAAGTATATAAGATGCATAACCTCCCGCGTGTTTATCTCGCAAAGTTGATATTGTGACTTGTCCGTTTACAACAGAACAATATCTTGGAAAGTCAGGCGCGATCAGTAAGGGGGGCAGCTAGGGCAATTTGCCCCAGGCCCCGACTTAATTGGGGCCACGATTTTTTTCATTCAAAATAAATAAAAATAATATTAATTTCTAATCCAAATTTAACGCTATATTATTTCTCGTGCATAGATAAATGAACTGGGGTAGGAGGATCATTTTGTTTGAAATGAGGGGAGCCCCTGTGATTCAACTGCCCCAGGCCCCCGGTTTTCCTTACGCGTGCCCGTGCGCAAAGCCTCACCTTCTGGTAGAGCGACGTGTCGATCTTGGTGTGGTCGAGCTTGGTGTGCATGGAGGCGACGCGCGGCCGCGCCGGGTTGGCGGTGGACAGCACCACGTGCTTGTCGCTGCGCGCCAGCGGCAGCGCCACCGCCGCCGCCGCCCCCGCGCCGGCCTCCGTCGCCCCGCCGCCGGCGCCCAGCGCGCTGCCGCTCGGCGCGCCCGGGAAGCTGGGCGCGGGCCCCGCGCACGGCGTGCACGGCGTCCCCGGCACCGACTCCTCTGCGAACGCACGCGCGCCACGTCACAACCCCGTTGCGTTGGCTCAGTGGTTATTTCTGGGCGCGTCAAGCACTAAGGGCCGTAAGCACTACGGGCCGTAAGTTCTAAGGACCGTAAGTACTAAGGACCGTAAGCACTAAGGGCCGTAAGCACTAAGGGCCGTAAGCACTGAGGGCCGTAAGTATTAAGGACCGTAACTACTAAAGACCGTAAGTACGAAGGACCGTAAGTACTAAGGACCGTAAACACTAAGGGCCGTAAGTGTAGTGCATGGAATATCGTGGGAGGTGGCGGTTGATTGATTCCAGACGCGTCAACTGCTAAGATCATTAGTCCCGTAACTGTAATGCATGTTGTTCATCGAGGGCGGGGATCTTCCCCTGCTGGATGGTAAGATCAAGAACTGACCTACACGCCGGCTTAGGGGGTTTTCCCCTAATTAGGTAACTCTCACCAGCGGGGCCCCACCCCAGCCGAGATAAGTTTTAAGCTCCCGAAATCTGTGACAGTGTGGTGTATGTAAGTGTGTATTGTGTGTCGGGGGGCATAGGACAAGAACGAGGAAGGAAAGATCGTGGCTCGACCTAGCTCTCTAGCAAGTGTCGAAAATCCTGCTACCGTCTAGGCTCGAATATGTATCTCCGATCAGAGGCACTGCAGTGGCATCTGAAGCCCTGAGCCCCCTAAGCCGGTAGAGAGAGAACGGATGTGGCTTTGACTGATTATGTCGAGCTCCCGGGCGTGTGAATCACTAAGGCCTTTGGCCCCGTAAGTACAGTGCATGTTATGATGGAGGTGGGGGTGTTTCTGTCCCGCTGGAACATGTGATCCGGTGATCTTACATTAAGAGGGTACAATCCAATAAAATTACGCTCCTTGGAAATGAGCAATTTTGATATAAGTATGCAATGAAAAGAGTATGCTACTTCAGAAAATATAATTAATCATATGAAATGGATCAAGAATTTATTGTTCAGGAACATTTTCCTTTAACGATGTATTCGGGTGAAAAAAGTTGACGGAGCCCAGATAATGCGTTCGTGAATTTTGAAGATCTTTGCGGAACATAATTTGAGAACCTTTCTCTTAAAAGTTTATGGAAATCCACCAAATCGAACACTGGCCTTCACATGTGTTTGAGGAGATCTATTTTATATATTTCGCGTCTGATAGTCTAACATTTACACTCTCAATGGAGAGAAATGAAAGATCAGGAAATTGTGGTGAGTGGAGATGTTTCTCAAGAATATTAGGGTATTCCAAACCTAGCCGCTATGTCTGAAATGCGATAATTTATTGTTTGTTAATCTGGAATATATTTCAAAAAAATATTAAGATATCGTTGCAATGCGATGAGTTAAATAAGTTTTACACCTAGCTCGAGTATTATAAGCCGGCTTATAATATTCAGGTAGTGTTTCCTGTGGGAAAACGGCCAAAGTATCTAGTGAAAAAAATCAATTTTTTGTTCTGCACTAGATTACCAACTTTTTCATAAGATATAAAAAACAGATATATTTATTGTGTAGCAAAACAATTTATATTTCGCTTAATACTACTATTAATATTACAATAATCTGATTTGGTAATAACATTAATGATTGACTAACTGGGTTTTCTGGGTTTATTCTAATCTGCAAATTCATCACACATTCTGCTCTCATGTGCAGGCATTGACTTCAGTCAAAAGATATGAATCTCCAATGAGAAATTTTCATAATCTTAGCATTAGAGCTCAGTCAAAAGAGTGGGAAAATTAATAACATTTCCTAAATAAATCTACAAAGCAACACAATAATGAAAGAAATCTTTAAATCGGGTATTCGGGATACAGTAAGAATTGGTGAAATTAAAAAAATAATAATAGCTTGAAAAACATTAACTTAATTCTACTAATCAATACAACGGTTTTCCGTACATTTCTTAATATGTCGAAATTGGAAAGATAAGTATGCGGAAATCTACAATTTTGTAATATGATATGCGGAAAAGTACAATTCTGTAATAAGATATTCTGGAAATACTACGTAACACAGGTAATACTCACATTAAATTACATGTCAAATGGTGAAACGAGTTTCTAGTTACAAAAGAGAGAAAATATTGTAAGGACGTTCAGATTAATTCATATCAATAGACTTTAAAAAATGTTTTGACAAAAAAGAGATCTCAGCTGTACTCATATAAAGCACATCAGTGTGAACAAAAAATGTTGGAGGTCAAGAAGAAAGGCAGAATGAAATTAAAGGGGGGAACTTGGTTAAGATATATACCACACCCTAATGTTCACCTGATAAAAAAAAGTAATATTGATATTTAAAATGGATGAAAGTGTGACGATCTAGTGAAAACGATCAAAGTACAAATAGTAGTAAAGATAATAGATTCGAAAACTTAAACTGCAATGGAAAGTTGTTTACATTTTCTTAATTAATCAATTTTTCATCACAGAAGATAACTGGAGATATTGACGTCATGCACATCAGAAATACAAAGAAATACCATATAAGCAAAATTGTTTCATTCACCCGTTCAATGTTGAAGCAAATGTGAGCGACTGTTCATCAGCCACAATTGTCGGCTGCTTGTTCTCATTGAAACTATTAATTTCATAGATAAAAATCAAAAGTTCAACTTCTGTCTTTAATGATTTGTTACCTTGTTTAAATTCCTTTCATAAGTATAAAGATCAAGATATCGTGTGGCACACATGGAGAAACCAGTTACGGGTCTGTTTTACAGATGATAAATTTTAAAAAGTTAAATATTGTTCAGGTGAATGATTCAATTGAAGAATAGTGTAACACATTCTTGCATATAGGGTTTGTATACTCACTACTAATACACATATATCCATTGACTGCTAAAATAGAAAATACTAATTAATAAAAAGTTGAGTTTTATTAATATGTACTCTCTAGTTTCATAATGCCAATTGAAGTAAAAGTTGTGGATTGTATTTTTATCACTTCACCCCTGAGGTGAAAGTGTTACGGAAACGATAATTTTTGTTAATATGGAATATAATATGTTCATGACTATTAGAATATTACACATAAACCAAATTTTTGTTCTATTGCTTTAAAATATTGAAATAATTATGCCTTTTCTGAACTGCAATTACTGAGTAAAGCAGAAAGCAACTTCCACACTTCAAAAAAATTTGTATTGAAAATATAGTGTTAGACCTTTCAAACAGACTTGAATAATTAAATTTCAACACTCAACCAGATAAAAGCACGTTAGTACTTTACTGCATTTTGTGATTGTCTCATTGAACACAGTCTACAAGTAGTTCCGAATAAGTTTTCATGTTTTTAAAAGTTTTATCAATAGATACATGCAGAGTTATTCATCTTCCATGTTTTTATCATTTCAAATATATATTTGAGTTTAAAATGATGGAATGTGAACAAATGTAATAAATCTATTTTGAATCAAATTGAGATATTCAAGCGTAATGAGATCTAGAAACAAAAAAAAAATCAACTGTCAATTTTAGTGAACTATTGTAATACACTAAAGGCAGGTGCTTATATTTACGTAGGTTACATGACGCATGACGCAAAAAGTTAAATGACCTTCATCAACTCAAATAACCTTCGAGTGCAGTAAAACAATAAAGACAACTTCAACGGTTTGAAAATATCCTCCGGCGCAATATAATTAAGATCGAGTTCAATAGTTTCAAAAACGAATGAAAAAGAGTAATTAATTGAGAGAACAGTTGTTCTAAACAGAATTATCATTTCAAATTACATTTCCAAGAGGAAAAGGTGTTCGCGAGAAGGAGGAAAATAGGAATACGCATGTTCCAATAGAAATTCTCTAAAGAATTTAAACAATCTTCAAAAAATGTTGTTTCGAATCCTGAGAAATGATATTTCCAGAACTTATTGTTCGCAAACAAATTCATTTATTAAAATATACTCGATTCTCAATCTATATATTTCTATAAATAAACTATAAATGCTATATCATCCTCCACCATCAATTTAATATGAAGGACTCTTTGCTATTTGTGTATTCTCACACCAACCCAGCATAAAGCAACTCGCGTATTTTACACTTTAATCAACACATATTTACCGTTAACAAGAAAGCACACTGCAAAAATGGGAAAGACATATCTCCAAAATTGTCATTTTTTTAGTTAAGTAAAATACAAATCTTTAGAAGATAGTACTTTGTATTGAATAAACTTTTGGATCAGGACAGTTGAGCAATTACGGCTTTTTTTGTGTCACGTCGATCACGCCACTTCACATGCATCTTATCCCTATTTACTCTCCTTCTCTGCATTTCGGAATGAGACTTCCACCTCCTTGCCTGGCGATGGAGGTTCTTCTCCGTCAAAATTTTGGGGACGTAGATCCGTCTTAGCGACAGATAGCCTGTTTGGTGGCGGGTATCAATGTCTGAAATGACTAAGAAATGGGTTTAGAGCAGGGATTCCCAAATCTTTTTCTTTCATTGACCCCTTTTAAGGGACTTGTTTGTTTCATCGACCCCCTTACATTTGATCTATGATACACAGTACTCATAACAACAACAAAAAGAATTGCATGTAAATGCCTTTAAGATAAGAATTTAGTACATCAATATTTTCATAAATACCTAGATTTTCTTTAATCGACGACGCTGCCTCTTTTGAGTAGCTGACTAATTTTACCTGCAATTCAATGATTACATGTTAAGTGTTTCTAAGAACTGGCCATAACCTTTCTCTAGTGCGTATTGGAGTGAGTATTTTGATAGGCGATAGAGTATCATTGTGAATGCATAGTTATAATTTCTTTAGTTTTCTAAACATCCTAAGGATGAACAACGAATACGAAAGGAGAGTGAAGTTGTTGTTATTTATTATATTCTGTTTGTATAAAAA